AGTTTGAGTTCAACCATCATTCTTAGTATGCACAGAGGCTTATTTTCTAGCTCCTTAGAGAGCTTTGAGAATTGCTTTCTCTTGTATTGGCAAATTGGTAAGGACATCTCAAACAGACTGTTGTTTGGTGCTTAAGGGTAAGAAGGACTGAGGTCACAACACCTTCGCTTTTCAGTTCATGGACTACTTCTCATGCTGACCCTGCCTTAGAAAGCAAACCAAGCCAAGAAGACGTCACAAGCATTCATGAAATCCCAGTTGTGCAACCAGCAGCCTTCTGCAGTGGACACTGACTGCAAATCCTGTGCACAGAAAGGGAACACTGCTTGTACAGCGCTGGCGTGGGCTCATTTCCTGGCAAGCACCCACATGAATGCTCAGCACGCTTGGCCAGATGTCGGACTCATGGCATGAGAAGGTGGGTCACAGTCCAGGTTGCTGAGCCCAGGGATGGATCTGATGGACGAATTCCTTCCCTGAGAACAGGTCCTCTCACATCCCCGTCTGCAGCTCCAGGTTTGGCCCTCAGATCTTAAAGGTAGGCAAGAGAAACTCCTGCCTGAATTTCCAAAGAGCCACTGCTAGTCAGTATCAACAACACCGGGGAACAGCGAGTGGCCTGATTCAGTATGGAGCAGCTTCCCCCTGGAGATGGGAGGAACTGAATCTGGGATCTTCAGGATAGAAAACATCCAAGCCTGCTGCTTAGGCAGAACCCTCCTCCCCATTCTATGTGGGCTGGACTAGCAGCTCAATCTTACCTGGACACTAGCACTGGTACAGCACCTCCTTTACCTGGGAGCAGCAGGCTAGCTTTGGGATGAAGGGAAGGCCACACAACACACACCATGCTGTCCTCCGACAACTCCCGCTGCCTTCTTCTGTCTTGTGCCAGAGACAGCCATCTCACTCTGCCTAATGTCCAGGCTAGATCTAAAAATAAGCAGGCACCTGCTCTGTGGCTCAGCTGGGCCCTCCCCTCAGCTGTAAGTTTTGCGATTGAGAGGAGAATCCTCTCTTGCTGTGCTGACGTAGCCTGGGACATGAAAGCATTCTCATTCTCTCATTTTACGGCCACACAGTCACATCCACTGCACTGAATACAGAAAGTACTCTTGGGTTTGAGCACTACCTACTGTCAGACTGCTAAAGAGGCAGCCTGCCTACCCCTGGACAAAAGATGGAACTCACGCCCCATGAACCCAGCGGCCACTCTCCTGTTCGTTCAAAAGGAGATGGACTGCATTACTCCTGTTTCTCCACCCCACCCCCCACATCACCACTTTATAAAGCTGCCAGCCATAGTGTTGAAATTCCCCACCTCCGCTGACCTCTCCTAAACACAACTTTTAGTTTGCAAAATATATCTTTTTCAATTATTTCTTATATCTTTTTCAGTTTGTGCATTGCTTACCAACCAACTATGGTTTCTGAAATACATTCTGGAGCCAGGAAAATTTAATTATCTTGCTTTATGAAAAATATAATTGAGATTTCTGCATCAGCACTGCAAGCAGTGTCCCTCCTATATTTCCATTGTTTCAAAACTGAAATCTCCTTTCTCGGTGTGTTTCCAGTCCTCTAGAATATTACCCAAATTAATCATTTTCTATTTACCTCACAGCTGAGATTTTTGTCCAATGGTAATGAAAAAGAAGTGAAGTTGGATTGCACAAGGTCAGGCCATTTGGTCCATCTCAGTTCAGTGTTGCCCTAATGGACTGGCTGAGGTTCCTCACAGTAAACACTTATTTTGCATCTTAATTCAAACTTATCTAATCTTTTCAGTATCATGACCCCAAACTCAGTTACCTCTACAAAATTGTATTGCTCCAAATTCAGAAATAGAATTCTATCAACAAATGCAATGAAAAAATGCATACGTTGGAGGAAGTCACACATAAACATGTATATATTCATGAACATAACATTCATATATTACCTCCAGAAACTATGTAGATTGTTTCCAAAAGAAATAGGTGTGCCTCAGCTTAATTGTCCTATTGTATGGTGGACAAGAAGCTACTGTAGGGACAGAATATGAGGGAAAAGAATGGTTTCCTGTAGGCAAAAGCACCAGACAATGATGTATTTTATCTCCCTGCCTGTTCAGTCTGTATGCAAAACGTACAAGCTTGATTACAATCAGGACGAGGAGCAAAAATTGGCAAAAGTTTCATCAATAATTTAAAATGTGCAGATGTTGTCATATTACTGAAAGAAAGCAGGAATGAACTGAAATGACTCCTGATGAAACTGAGAGAAGAAAGTGCAAAAGCAGGACTACAGCTGAACATTAAGAAAACAGAAATTTAGACTACAGAAGAATGATAGAGCTTTTCTGTTGACTATGAAGAAACTGAAATTGTGAAAGGTTTTGCAGGCTTTGACTCAGTCAAAAAGAGCTGTGGCCTTAGTGTTCCCAAGGTTGCAAATGCAACCTTGGAGCCACAGACCGCATCCTTCTTTCTGTGCCACCTGCAAGGATGAAGGAGGCTGCTGTAACTTCAGAGTCCAAACTCTGAACATGGGGCATTTTTCCAAGGTTGGAGTTGTGATTCTGAATTCTCCCATGGACAACTAGTAGCCATAGGATTGTGCCAGAGGGCAGAAAGTGAGGCAAGCGATTATCCCTGCCTGGCACAGGCAAAAATCCAGGATGGCTGGTTTTCTTCCCAAGCTCCTAGTTATTACATGGAGTTCCACATGACTTTCACTTGAACTGTTTGTCACATGGACTGGCTTCTGAGGATGCCTAGGGGAAGGGTTAAACCTGGAACTGAGAACTGGCTAGACAAACCAGGTGCCAGTCTCACTGGAATCTGGTGCTGAGATCCCTGAGAGTCCTCATCTTCCATTTGTGATGTGGGGTGAGAACTATCAAAATTATGGCCTCAAGGATGCTGTAGGTAACAGCACTTGGCTGGCCTCGAGCTGGGAGATGGGCTATCACCCCATAGGTGACCTATGCTGGTGCAGCGGATGAATCTGAACAGGGCAACCTGTTGCTCCTCTCTTGGGAGGAACATCTGCTGATGATTCTGTGATATCCCAGTGCCAGGAGAAGGAAGAATTGTTGTGTATAGATTAGGCTAGGAGCAGTTTGCTATTTTTCTGAATTGGCCAACAAGCCTCTGGAGGTGGAGCCTCTTGGTTGGCTGTTGCTGCCAACCAAGATATCCCTTTCCCCTCCCTTCCCCACTTTACCTGGTTTTATCTTTGAGATCCTGTGATTTAATCCCTCCACCCCCAGATTTCATCCTTGTTTTATTCCCCAAGCTTGGGTTTGTTGAGTGCTGAATTCAGTGGCTACCCCAGGGAGATTCTGGGCAGGATTGGGCCCAGGTGGCCAGGGGAGTGCACTCCATTGCACTGTTAAGGCAACAGCAAACACCAGAAAGAAGTTGCAAATAGTTCCTTGCTGTGACCTCAGAGATGGCATCTTCTGGGTGTTCCAGAGAACAGGGAGAGGAAGAGGCAGGCTGCACCAGCACATGTAGCACCCCAGCGGTGCCTCAGCTGCCCCCCCCCCCACCCCTTGCATGCTGAGGCAAAAGACTCTGATGGCAGACACTAGCTCTCTAGATCTTTTGCAGGGTGGGAAAAGAACCAAGGTGACCCTGACTGCTGTTCTTGCCCTGCAGACGGTGCCCTGTCTCTCCCTTCTCTTTTGTATGTATCATTTCAGCACAAATCAGACAGCCCTGGAGTTTCTTGGACAGGAAGAGAACAGATGGAGACTGAATTAGTCACCCTCTTCCACCCCTATGAGTCCCTGGGGAAAAACAAAGATTAGTGATATGCAGATGAGCAAAACTTGCACGCACTGAAATGGCTTCACCAGACCTCTGCACCACAGGAGCTTGGAAGACTGGAATAGAGCTCGAGGCGCTCTCTACTTCCCCTGAGGACTACCAGACCCAGACTTTGAGAGAGCACCACCGTGTCCATTTGCACAATCTGATCAGTTACAGGAAAAGCCACACTTGATGAGAAAACTAGTTGCAGGAAGCTTTGAAAGATAGCGGTTGTTTCCAGATGGAGGGCTCATTGCACAAAACACAGCGAGGTCCCCCCCCCCACTTAACAGATGCGCCCACCCCTCAGTAAGGAAGAAGATGAAAGAAGTCTTAAGAAAACATTTGTAGGAAACAAGTGGAAGCTGTCTATGTCTGGATCCCTCAGAAATATGGATCTATCAGTCAGCAAACCTCAGTTTGCCAACGTCCTTCAAATTCCACCTTGAAACTCTGTCAAACTCAAGTCCAAACTCAGATTGTGAGCATTATTTTCCCTCACAAAAATCCAGGCATATATTCAGAGTTTACCCAAATGCACACATCACTTGTGCTTATCTTTGAAACATATGCATTCTTCACCCATTGATTAAAATATACTTGCATGCATTTTCCAAATATATACATTCTGATCAACACATCTTTCTGGGGTTTGCAAATTATAATGTTGGTAATTTATTAATTCTGACCCGAGGTTGCAACTAAGCCTGTGTTTAGTCTGGAAGCTGTGAACTGGGCAAGCCCTGCTAAAAATGAATTAGAACACATTTCTTGTACACCCTACAAAAAAAAAAAAAAAAAAAAAACTTCCTAGAGTTTCTGAAAACCTTCTGGTTCTTATGAGGGTGGTTAAGAGATGTGCTGGAGATAGACTTCAAGCTGAACAGGCAAGGATTTACGAGGAAAGAAAAACACAAGTAAGACTAGTGAGGGGGGGTTGGGGGGTTGTTCAGCCACTTCCCTAATAGCATCACCAC